TTGCTGGGCTAGAAGTTGTTCATGTAGTAGATAATAGATACTTTATCACGTAAGGAATTGCCTAAAATCTTACCTTTTAAAAAAATGTTTTTACAAATGAACAGCAGACCCTATGAACTTTTCTTACCAAAGAGAAAGATTGAATCGATATCCGATTGCAGCCTCCCTTTGATCAATCTGCCCGACTACGACCAAAAACTGTTTGGCGCTTTATTCCAAAGGGCCATTCTGAATCAGACCGGTTTTCTACCGAGGTATTATGAATTTAGAAATGATCCCAAACAATACTATCACTGCTTGGTAACTTGGCAGTCAACCACAGCAAGCGCGTGCGAACTTTCACTGATCTACCACCAGCTGATATTACCAGTGTAGCTAGAAAGCGACCGCATTGATTAACATAAAGATCACACAAGACAGGACTATTCGCCAAAAGGCCAAAATTTAGCAAGGTACCAATCGTCTAAATATACACCAAGACACCAAGTCTAGACATTCGCAATTATTTTGAAATTCGTCATAGTGGATTATTCTCCTGAATATTCGGCATGGTCTTGGTGTCTTGGGTGTATATTTAGACGATTGGTACCTTGCTGAATTTTCAATGGAGTACCTTGCTGAATGTTCCACTCCACGGAACATTAGTCGGATGTTTTCTGTCTTGCGTGATCTTTAGAAGATTGTTTGTCTGCTGAGTATTTGAAACTAGTGTGAACTTCTTCAGGGACGGAGGAAGAGGAATATTTTAGGATATCAAATAGACTATAAAGAGATATTTGGATTCATGGTGGGATTGCATTGTAGTAGTTGTGGAAAGATTTCAGGAGACGGTAACAAGTGGCCTAGAATTGGACAACAGACAATTGGTTTGATTGATACAATCCATACTGAGGAGAGATTGAAAGTCGCAGTTTGTGCAACACGAGTTGGTGGAGGAGGTTTGAGTCAAGTAATGATAGTTGGTATAGATATGGCGAGTCAGGAAGTAGGACATCTCAATGATGTTTTGAAATAGTAACAAATACTTTTGTTGAGGATGATTACTGTTGGTTGATAATTAGTAGGATCATCGTCACGTTTGATCTAATATGATGATGGGAGTACAGTAAGGTTACACGAAGATGAGAAATGGAAAACCAGTATAGGGGTGTAAAAATGGAAAATTTTGTATAGCAATGATGGTGTAGAGGCAACATGCACGCCTTCCAAGCGTGCGTCCGGGGTTCGATTCCCCGTCATTGCAGTTGATCCGAATTAGTCCAGTGGTTAGGATTCCTCGCTTTCACCGAGGCGGCCCGGGTTCGATTCCCGGATTCGGAGATTCTTTTTGTTTTCCTCTTTCTTTGACCAGTCAAAGGTACTGATAGAAATACTGGCTAACCTCATAGTA